ATTGACTAGGGAATTCTGGGAGTTGAAGTCCAGCCATCTTAATATTGCTTTCCTAACTGGGGAATTCTGGGAGTTCAAGTCCACACATCCTAAGATATGGACTAGGGAATTCTGGGAGTTGAAGTCTAGCCATCTTAAGATGCTGGCTGGGGAATTCTGGGAGTCTGGACTTTTGACACCTTAAGATTGGTTTCCTAACTGGGGAATTCTGGGAGTTCAACTCCAGACATCTTAAAAGTTCCCCAGGCTGAGAAAAACTAGAGAGAGGAAAGAAAGCATGGATTATAATGTTTATTCTCTTAAAAACATCCTAGTAATGAGTGTTTCTCAGGATGATCTAGAGATAAGAGAAAGCAATTGGTGTTTTTTCACCCCAATATTCTTATTATCGAAATGGCATTACCCTATAATTAACAACATGATCTAAAGCCCCTCTGAATCTTCCAACACAGGCAAAGTTCTTGACTCCTGCCTGCTTAATGAGGCTGACTTAGGAGGGTGAAACTCATCCTAACGCATACCCGAGGCCGTCGCTGGTTCATTAGTAGCGCATAAACGCTTTCTGTCTGCTGCTAATTTGGGAATGCAGTTAAAACTAAAAACAGAGCCACAGTCTGTAAGTAGGCGGGATTGAAAAGCGGCATTAATCCACGGGAACCATTAATATGCTGGCATATTAGGCTCTTAACACAATTAGAGGAACTGGTCTAAAGGACAAACACAGGGAAAGGCGCTCTCGGTCATGGGCCAAGCATCCCGCAGACGATCACAGAAGGTTTAAAAGCATTTTAAACATCAAGGAATGTTTATATGAACCAGGGGTCTCCAAACTTGACAGTTAAGACTTGTGGACTTCAACTCCCAAAATCCCTCCTCCTCCAGTCATGTTAGCTCAGGAATTCTGGGAGTTGAAGCTCACAAGTCTTAAACTTGCCAAGTTTGAAGGAGCCTTGATCTATCTATCTATCTATCTATCTATCTATCTATCTATCTATCTATCTATCTATCTATCTATCTATCCATCCATCCATCCATCCATCCATCCATCCATCCTATCTCTCTCTATTCTACCTCTCTCTATCCTACTATTCTCTCTATCCTATCTTTCTCTCTCCCCCTCTATTCTATCTTTCTATCTATTCTATCTTTCTCTCTCTCTCCTTCTAGCTATTCTCTATCTGTCTATTCCAGGGGTCTCCAAACTTGACAGTTAAGACTTGTGGACTTCAACTCCCAGAATTCCTCCTCCTCCAGTCATGTTAGCTCAGGAATTCTGGGAGTTGAAGTCCACAAGTCTTAAACTTGCCAGGTTTGAAGACCCAGCCGGGAAGGTCGTAAAACGGCAATCACGTTAGCCCAGGATCGTTGTTAATATGACTGCAGGGAGGCTGTGGTGGCCGTAAGAGCGAGGACTCTTGTTTTTCAGGACCGTTGTACCTGAACGGACTCTAAATGAACGGTCGTAAGTCAAGGACTACCTGTAGAAGATAGGTTGAAGTGTCAGGGAAATTCACAGAGGGCCAGAGGGACTGAAGGACGGGCCAAAATTTGCACAATATTGTCTCGAGCATCTAAGTTGTTGCAACTGAGGCAGAAGTGCGCTTAAAAACATTTCAGCAGCAGCCACGCCGGGCACCCCAAGAGTGTTTTTAGCGCTCCCCGTTTTTCTCATTTGGGGGGGTCGGGGTTTTTACGATCCCACAGTCAGCCAACGAGAACACAGCGTGAGTTAAAGGGGGTTAAACAGCAGCGGGTCATGCAAAAAAAGAGGGCAAGGGGGCATACGAACTATAGCGAAGGCGGGGAAAAGGGGTATAAAAAAACCAAAAAAAATATATTTCAAAATCCAGAGTCCCTACAAGAGACATAAGTCTTCTGATTGGCTGCAATGTGGGATCGTCCGGGATCAATCCGGCAGCAACCATGGGCATAACGGCGGTAAAGATCCTGGTTTGGAAAGGAACAGACAAGAGGAGGTCAGAGGGCTGGAGAAAGAAATGGAGATTACGGTATTCAAACACGGCAACGGAAAGAGATAAGTGGAGAAAGATTAGAGAGAGAGAGAGAGAGAGAGAGAGAGAGACGAATTGGATGCTTGCAAAAAGAGCCGTAATTAGCTACGGTTGGCCTTGGTTGCGCAAAACAATGGAAACCAGGTTTGATGGCTTCGCTTGTAAGCCCAGTGAATGATGGCTTAGCGGTTTTTCTCAACCTAGACAACTTGAAGGAGAGGTGGACTGCAACTCCCAGCATTCAAGTTGACGAGGTTGGAATTAGAGAAACCACATTCACCCATCATGGCTTACTGCAACATCTCAGTCTGTGTCGGCCCAGAAAGAGTCCACATCCATGGGATCCAGGCAGCGTGTCAGGATTTCGGCACTTAACCCCATTTAAATCACGAGTCTCAATCCAAACTTCCAAAACTTCCAAAGGATTTATTAGGAGTAAACATGCCGGCATTGCCTGGGTGTAGCCGACTCTGACATATCATTCATTGTCACCCTTGACCCTGGTTTCCCCCCACCCCCACCCCTCTGGGTGTATCGTAATTCATATTCTCCAATGGGACACATCCATAGCCAAGAGTCATCAATCATGCTCTCCAGTTAGATATTCGCGTGGCAGAAACTTCAGTCACCTAGTTACTATCTTTGAAAACATTTATGGAATGCACTTTTGGTTTCCAAGCTGCCCCACTACTCCCCCCTTCCTTTCTGTTGGCAACTCTAAAAAGACCCTAGAAATATTTTATGAGTTGACACAGCATCTGCTCCATGGTGGGGAAAAATACAGGTTAAGTCCTCGTCTTTATAACGGTTCGTTTAGTGACTGTAACAACGGCACTTGGAAGAAAAAAAAGGTGACTTATGGCCGTTTTTCACACCTCAAACACTGCAGCCTCCCTGTGGTCACGTGATCAAATCCAGCCAGTTGGCAACTGGTTCACATTTATGACAGGTGTGATCCCCTTTTGCGACCTCCTGATGAGCCAAATCAAGGGGGTAGCCCGAATCGCTTAAGAATTGTGGGACTAAAGTCACAACTGCACCAAAAAGTGCGTACAATGAGGCGAAACACGTTTAAATGAAACGTCTCGCTTTGCAACGGAGGTGCCAGGCTGAATTGTGGCCGTAAGTCGAAGACCACCTGTCCTGCCATAGCAGAAAGGAGCCAAAGCTGAAATCAGCAAATTTTTCTTTTCTTTTTTTCACACTCCAGCACAAAAGCCGCTTTGAAACGCTCAACGGCTATTCTTAGAGGCTACAAAAACAACACACACAGCTGTTTGTATTGTGTTTCCCCCAGCAGGTTGCGATGACGCCACCGGGCTAGTTTGAGCATTGCACACAAGCTACAAACTCTTTCTAACCCTTTCTATCCCAGGGCAGTAACTCTTATCGAATTCAACTGTATAGTACAATATCTAAGCAACCGCTTTGAGAAGGCTGTAAAGCACTATAAAGCGTTATATGAGTCAAAGTGCTATTAAATTGCTATTGATGCAATATCGAGAGTTTCAATTCAATGTATAGAATGTGAAGGATGCGTGTTTGTGTTTTATTTTTGTAGTTATGTTCACTGAAGATGGTATTTAATTTTGTTGTACGAGGTACAATGACAATAAACTAAACTAAACTAAACTTTCGGGTTTTTTAAAAGGCCCAACCCTGTTTGCAATGAAGCCAGAAGAGCAAAAAGAGAAATTGGAGGGATAGGAAACCCAAATAAATCATCTCTTTTCAGATAAATCATCTCCAGCTGTTTTCTGCAGAATACGATGCTTTTTATTTGCAATTGATGATGGAAGCATTAATTGGAACAGGGGAAGGGAAGGTCTGGCTGCGCTGGGAATATTATCCATCAAATTTATCTGAAGGCCTTATTCCATCATGATCAATTATTTTAGAAACAGAAAACCGAAAGCAGGAAAACACTGCTCTTTGAGTTTATTGCTTTTTGACTTGTATTATTTTTAATTATTATATTTTATTCCCCTTTATTTTATTTAAATTTTATTTTTCTTTAAAGTTCAAAATTTCTGGGGATGGAAAAAAATTTTTTTTTCTCCAGAAAAAAAGAAAGGAAAAATGCATTGGGCTTGCAGGTTGCTCCAAGGTAGATGTGGATATTGGGTATAATCCAGAGGTGGTATTCAGCAGGTTCAGACCAGTTCTGGAGAACCAGTAATGGAAATTTTGAGTAGTTTGGAGAACCGGTAAATACCAGCTCTGACTGGCCCCGCCGGCATCTATTCTCTGCCTCCCATTGAGTCCCAGCTGATCTGCTGGGTCTCCTTTGGTTGCCTTGCACAGGAAAACGGAGCTGGAAAGCAGGTTAGTGGGGTGGGGAGGGAATGAGGATTTTGCAGTATATCCTTCCCCTGCCACGCCCAACAAGCCACACCCACCACGCCATGCCACGCCCACAGAACTGGTAGTAAAAATTTTTGAATCCCACCACTGGTATCATCGCTGCGGTCTTAACCAGGAATGAGCCAAAACCATCGCAGGTTTCAAGAAATCATTTTTTTTTAAAAAAAAAAACCCAACTCTTCTTTGAGAAAGGGAGAAAAATAAGCAGCAATAAGGAAATGCATCTCAAAAGACAGGTTGAGCCAGCTGTTTGTTTTTGAAGCATCATCGAGTATTGTAAGTGACGTCTTGAGCACAACAATTTGTCTGCCTCGTTGTTGTTCTTTTTAAAAAAAACAGCCCAGAAAACTTCCCACAAATTCTACTTACAGCCGTTTGATGCCGGATTCTTGCTGAGTCAACGGTTTGGAATTAAGAATGGCCGCAGATTGAGCCGATCGCGTCTCTTCGTCCAATTCGTCGCTTTAAAAGCAGGGGGGGAGGGGGAAATGCAGCATGATATTAGGAATATTTACACTGTCTAACTGCCCAGAATGGGGAGTTGGGCAGCCTTTGAAATCTCATTTCAAGCAAAGAAATGGAGAATTGAGACTTTTTGAAGGAGAGGAATAAAAAGAACACGAATTGGCCAGGGTTATTTCGTGCCCCCTTTCCTAATTCATGGTGAGAAAGCTTTAATCTTGAGTGGTTAATCTAACATTGGTTCCAGTTCATTGGAAAGGAAGTCTGGAGTCTAAATCTACAGGAGTGTTTCTCAACATTGGCAGCTTTAAGTTGGGTGGACTTCAACTCCCAGAATTCCCCAGCCAGCATGCTTTAAGATAGGGAGACTTCAGCTCCCAGAATTCCCCAGCCATCATGGTTAAGAACTTAAGATAAGGGGACTTCAACTCCCAGCATGCTTAAGATGGGTGGACTTCAATTCCTAGAATTCCCCTTGCTGGCTGGGGAATTCTGGGATTTGAAGTCCACCCATCTTAAAGTTACCAAGGTTGAGAAATCCTGTTCTAGAATATTATCCATCCTGTTGTCATTTCAGCTCTTCCAAATTGAGCAAGTTTCTTATGTTTCCCCAAAACATAAGTCAGAACGACAACCGGACCCGCCCGATCTTATCGAGAATAAATCTCGCTTCGCTCCAGGATCGGGCTGGGAAAGAGGAATAACCACCCACCTCTTGTAATACAGAAGCTCCTCTTGAAGCAGGAAAACCTTCGACTTCAGCTCGTTCCTCTCGTGCAATACGTCCCGGAGCTCTTGCAGAGTGAATCTGGGCCGATTGGGGTCTTTGAGATCCAGAGTGCTTTTCTCTGCTTCCGAGAGGAACTCCTCAGGGTTCTGGGGTTCTTCCAGCTGCAAGGTTATTATTTAGGATTAATTTCATTCAGACTTAAGTTTAAACAGATGTTTTCAGAAGAAGAAGGGCGAAGTTTCCTGGGGCCCGGCAAAATTCCAAATTGTAAAATGAAACATGCACACGGTTCACAATCGTCAAGCACCATGACGAATTCACAAAAAGTACAGCTGGGTCCCCTTTTAGTGACTGCCTCATTTAGCGACAGTTCACAGGGACAGCATGGATGGAAAAGTAGCATTAAGTGTCAGGGCTCGGGCACTTAACCCCATTTAAATCACGAGTCTCAATCCAAACTTCCAAAACTTCCAAAGGATTTATTAGGAGTAAACATGCCGGCATTGCCTGGGTGTATCGTAATTCATATTCTCCAATGGGACACATCCATAGCTCAGAGTCATCAATCATGTTCTCCAGTTAGAATTTTGCGGGGCAGAAACTTCAGTCACCTAGTTACTATCTTTGAAAAACATTTATGGAATGCAAACTGCTGCACTGCTCTCTCCTCCCTTTCTGTTGGCAACTCTAAAAAGACTATAGAAATATTTTATGAGTTGACATAAGACCAATCTTTGCACTGAGAGCCCTTATAAGTTGGCAAAGCAAAGGAAAGTTGAAGGAAGATTGGAAGCAGTCATGGTTTCATTTAGCAACTATTTCACTTAACTGGTCCCAATTGTCTATCTGTAATTTAATTAGTTTAACTACTGGTGAATGAGCCTGGTTATTTGGTGATTGTGGCCATTGCAGTATCTCCCAGGAATATTTTCCCCAATCTCTTAGTTTAATCTTTAGCCCTGGAACCTCTCTGGGTGGTCTCCTATCCAAACGACACAATAAGGCCTGTCTTTGTTTAAATCTCCAGGCCCAAACAAAGTCAGCTAGAGGCTGTCATTTGCTGAGACGATGAATAGCTGATTGGAGTTGGCTGGAAAAAATAAGATTATTCTTATTCCAATTTAAAAAGGATCCATTCCAGATTTTGCAGGAGGAAAAATAAAGAGGAAAAAAAAGAAAGAAAGAAAGGCAATGGAAAAACGGAAGAACAGAAATAGATATTTCTACATCTCCCTTTGAAATGCATCCCCCGCTGCTTTGAAAACGCTGTCCCCTAAGTCAAAAATGCAGCAATTAATTCTTTGAGGTGACAAATTATTTGGTTATATTATATTTTTTAGAGATCTGTGCCTATTCTATGGATATATCTCGGTGATTTGGGGGCGGCCTCATCGCTGTAACGCCAACTCCCCAATTAACAAAAGGAACAATTGTGCCTTCTTGGCAAAGCAAGCGATCTCATTAAAACCCAAGAATGGGAGCCTTTTCCAGATAACACAACAAAAGAAGCAGTTGTGAGTTTTGCATTGCCGTCGAAAAACACCAAACTAGGGCGCCACGTACTTGGCACCTCGAGCGATGTCCGCAAACGCACATCCTGACCGCTGGCAAGAACGAACGGCCTCAAATCTGGACAAAGCATCTTTCTGTTTTCACCAGATCCAATATTTTGGAGCAGTGGGATACCTACAAAAAGTCTCATTTTGCCTTTTTTGTTTCTAAAACCAGGCTCCTAGTCCTCATTTTTTTTCTACAGTCAGGCTGTCAGGGCTCTGGCATCCACCCCTATTCAAATCATGAGTCTCTAGCCACATCTCTCCGAGTTTAAAGAAGATTTATTAGGAGTGAACATGCCGATGCTACCTGGGTGTAGCCGACTCTGAAACACATCATTCATTTCCTCCTTGACCCTGGTCTTCCCCCCACCCCCTGGAAGTATATTCTCCAATGGGACACATCCATAGCTCAGAGTCATCAATCATGCTCTCCAGTAATAATCTTGCGTGCCAGAAGCTTCGGTAGAAATTATCTAAGGAATGCACTTCTCCCACTCCCTTTCTGCTGGCAACTCTAAAAGACCAGAGAAATATTTTTGAGTTGACAGGACTCTTTATGAAAAAAAAAGGCAATCCAGGTGTCTCCAAGGCCACAAAAACACAGAAGGTAAAACTCAAAAGTTGGTTGAAAAAATCTATCGAATCCGCAGGTTGGTATTTTCGGTGACAAAAATTCGTCTCAAGAAACAATAGAAGTGGATCTTTTGTGTTTGAACTACAATGGTCTCCGGCAATATTTTAAGTTTTTTTTTTCTCGACAACTGACCTACACATGCACAGATGTAGATGAAATATGAGCAATAATAAAATGTTACGTCTATGTTCTTCACATTTAGTCTAGTTTTTAAGCAGGTCTAATTTATAAATGCATTATTCTGGTTTTAACACTAAAAGGTGACTATATGCATTGTGTTCTTCAGGACTGCATTGTATCAAATACTGAATAGATCATGTAATGCTAAGAAAATTGATGTACTATCCTGCAGATTTTTCAAGAATTTAAAATTGTTTTACTGCTTTTTATTGTTTTTAGTTTTGTATGATTTTTGTTGTGTTTTTATTGTGCACTGTTTTGTGTTTTTCACTTCATATTTCCCTTCCTTCCTTCCTTCCTTCCCTCCCTTCCTCCCTTTCCTTCCTTCCTGCCTTCACTTACGACGGTTCCTCCTTTAGCAACCATTTGAAGGTACAATGGCACGGGAAGCAGTGACTTATGACCAAGTCCTCACACTTTCGACCATCCCAACACCCTCACAATCACGGGAACAAAACCCTGGTGTTTTGACAACTAGCATTTATTGACAAGGGTTGCATTGTCCTGGTGTGTGTGGGTGTGTGTAGCAAAAATCCACAGGGATCCCAGAATCGCTTAACAGTTGCATGATTCACTTAAAAGCCAAAATATTTCACTTAACAACCCTGGCAAAAAAAAAAAGGGTCGTAAAATCAGATGCAGCTAATTGAACAACTGCCTTTTTTGTTTAGCAACAGAAATTCCATTCTGGTTGTAACTCAAGGTCTTCCTGTATTTAGGTTTACTGCAAGCTTTTGCATTTCCTGAGGTAAAAAAGAGAGAGCGGGCAGGATTGTAGACTCTGAATATGTTCAGCCCTGTCAAATGAGCTCCTGGAGTTTAAAAAAAATATTGCAAACAGGCCGTTGGGAGGGCAGGAGGACTCAGACAATCCTGGCCCTGAAGGCTTGTTCCATTTAAATCACTGAAACGCAGCCAAGGGTGATCTTAAAATAAATCCTCGCCTCCCTTCGGCCCCCTTTGCTTCCAAGCAATAAAGGAACGTCACAAATTGCAAAAGAGTAAAATAATTTGCTGGTCTCCTTGCTTAAATTAAGCTAAAAGTTGTCTCGGGCTGAGGGGGGTGACTTCGAACCCAGACCTCTCTCATTTTGCTGAGGGAGGGAGCAGAGAACGCAGCAGGAAAGTGTGATAAATTAGTAAATTTATTCATAGTTAAGGGTCATCAGTTCCTGGGGAGGCCACGAACCAATATGTCCCTGTTTAGCTAACCTGGACTGATCTCTAAAAAAAAAAAAAAGTGAAGCAGACTTGGATGGGGGACCACCAGGAGATCCCAGAATCGAGGGATTCAAGCAGCGGCTAAGATGATGGTTTGTGAGAAAATTGCACGCATCTGAGGATGGTTTGTGAGAAAATTGCACAGTTGCGTCCCTGTAGGTCCGCGTTTCCCAACACCATAAAGATAGGTGGACTTCAACTCCCAGAAATCCCCAAGGCCTGGTCTTTCTAGAGAAGAGACTCTATGGTTGCGGGAACAACAGTGAGTTAGTTTAAGTAATGCTTTAAGTCAGTGTTTCTAAACCTGTGGGCAAGTTTAAGACGCTGGCTGGGGAATTCTGGGAATGGAAGTCCAGTCGTCTTTAGCCGGCTGGATGAGGGCTTCTGGGAATTGTAGTCCTCTCATCTCCAAACGGGCAAGATTTAAGGCAACTTTACCAAACACCCCAAGCAATTTAAAAAAAAACAAAACTACTCCAAATTCCCAACCTACCCGTGCTTCTTCTCCGTTGTGACTCGGTTCCCCCTGCAGTTTCTCCCGCAATTTTCCCAGCTCCGCTCTCAACACCGCCATCTCTTGCTCTTTGGTTTGCAAATAGGCTTCCAGCTCTACTTTCTGCTCAATCAACGCCTTCCCCTGAGCTTCCACGACGGTAATCCGGTGCCGCAGATCGTGGTTTATCTTCATCAACCTGTTTTGCTGCTGCTGGAGCTATGGAGAAGAAGAAAAGAGGAAAATGAAGGGGAAGCGGAGGGACACCACCGAAAAGGCCCCACCACTTCCAGGTTCCCGAATGTCCCATCGCTATTTATTCGGAGAGAGAAAGCTGGGAACGGATTGTTGAAGGAATTATGGGAAAAGAAGGCAGGCATAGAGGATTTCCCCGCTGCCAATGAGGCTTCGGAAAACTACAGTCATTCATTGGCTAGTGCATCTTCGATTAAGCAGGCACTTTGCAAATAAAGGAGGATTTCATTTCACATCCAATGAAGATTAGCCTGCTGCATAACGCATTTTGGAAACTAATCCGGTGATTCTCAACCTGGAGAAGTTGAAGATGGGTGGACTTCAACTCCCAGAATTCTCCATGCCGTCTGGGGAATTCTGGGAGTTGAAGTCTGCAAGTCTTAAAGATGGCCAGGTTGAGAAACAAATCTGGGAGGGAGGAAAGAAGGATGAAAGGGAGGGAGGGAGGACGGAAGGAGGGAGGGAGGAGGGAAAGAAGGAGGGAAAGAAGGAAGGAAGGAAGGAAGGAAGGAAGGAAGGAAGGAAGGAAGGAAGGAAGGAAAAGCAAAAAAATAAAATAGGAAGCTTGTTTACAGGATTATGATATTTGGTACACCCAAATATTCTCCATGGAGGTTTTAGATCTGGAATCCAAGTCTAGGAATCTGCTTCCAAAGAAAAAGGAAAAAGGAAAGCTTTTGGCAACTCCTTGAACAAAGCTTCTGAAGGAGGACAAACGAAATAAATAAAAAGTACTCACTGCTTCTACGTCTTCGTTTTTAAGTCCCAGTTCTCTGTCCTTCGCCCGGATTTCATCCCGCTGCTTGTCCACCACTTCCTTCAGCTTTTTCATCACTTGCCTCTCTCTTTCTGACATCCCTGAGGTGTGTGTGTGTGTGTTAAAAAAAAAAGGCAGATAATAATAATAAACAAATAGCTTTCATTGTTGACCCTCCTTAAGCAGTACAGCCCTTGCAAAATGTGTTCACAGAACATGGTGTGTGTGTGTGTGTGTGTGTGTGTGTGTGAAGCCAGCTGTCAGAACTTAACCAGGTTGTAAAGTTGCTTGTGTGTCTATGTGTGATTTAATTATTTATTTATAAATAAATAAAATTTCTTGGCCACCCATCTTACCATAGGGTAACTCTGGGCAGCTTAGGGTTATAAAACTATGTATATCCATATGCAATTAAAACATAAATACCTTAAAATCGCACATGAAAACCTAAGGACCGTTCCAAGTCATAACTTGGAATGGTCGTTAAGCAACCAGTCATTAAGTTGAGGATTCCCCGTCAAAGCCCAATGGGGAGGGGACCTTCTCCTAAAATGAACCCCACTGCGGTGATCCGGGGCGTGGCACAAAAGCAACAAAGTCCCCAAAGTAGGTAAAGTCCCTTTAATTCCTCTAACTTGGCCCCCAACGTCCAGTTATCATCGGCTGGAGAAAAAACTCTCCCAAGAACAGTTTTTAAAGGGAAGAAATTCTGTCCGAACTCAAAGTACATATAAATTATAAATAAAAACCAACACAAACCACACTGCAGCAATTAATGAGACAGGGCAGGATAACGAATTGCAGAACTCAAAAGATAACGAAATACGCACACTTGGGAGGACGCCAGAACTCAGATAAGACTTGACAAACCAAAATAATTTCACTGCTTTGCTTCCAGCTACTTTGCCATGCGCAGTTTGCCCTTTGAAACCGTCTTCCCAGCTGCAGCCAATGAAGGGGATCAGGGCCCTTTCCTCCCCCATAAACCACGTTGCTCCCTTATCCGATCTTCCCTACATGCCCTAGGATGAAGGGGGAGTGGGCCTGGGTCTTCCTCTGAATGCCCAGCCGGCCTGTGCCCTTCCCCAGTTTCCTCCACAGCCACACTCCCACTCCCTGTCAGCTGTTCCACCTCCCCCTCGGAATCAGATTTTAACAAGGGCATGACACCCGCCCTCTTGGCATCCGCTGGATTCTGCAAAATCATTTTGACAGTTGTTTCGGTCCAAAGCACTCAAAGCATGCTCCAGGACTACAACCCTTGCCTTCGTGTTTCTGGAATTCTTCCTCCGAGAAGTTCACGTCCTTGTTGGTGAGGTTGGTCATCAGCTGCTTGTTCTCCTCTTGAAGCTGGGCAATCTGGGTGAGGAGGTCCTGGGCTTCTCCTCGCCAAACATCCTCCACCAGTTCCAGCTCCTGCGGGACCAGAAATCCCATCCTATCAGCCTTGGGAAGTGAAGACTAGCCTTTGCAAAGACTTTCCCCATGGAGG